ACTTCACAGTATCATTTCCTACATGCCTCATACTTTTACACAAGCAATTCACTTCACCTGTGCTCAAAATAACAAAAAACATCCTGTTCCAACATGGAGCCAAAACTGGCTCTAATGAGCTTCCTGAGAGATTACTTGTCAGCCTCTGATATGATTCCTTCCTGGGGTACTGGGAGGATGTGCAATTTTCAAGGTATTTTTCAAGGGTAGTTTGGAAGTACTCAACTTTCACCTTATCTATGACCTTCAGAAACAGACCATGTTAGATGCAACACTACTACATACTGAGATGGGCTGGTTACTGGACCCTGGAGTTTCTTTCCAAGAGTAGGCACATTTAGGTAAGTACAACCCACAGTGCTTGGAGTTGACACAATGAAAAAGCCCAAACCTCTCTGTTTCTCTTTCTGTTCCCTTGGTGAATATCAAAATAAGAAGAGCAATCATTTAAAACTTATGAAATACAGAAAGACAAATGTTAAAAAGCAAAGTAGGCCAGGCTCAGTGGCTCAGCCTGTAATCCCAGCACTTCAGGAGGCCGAGGTGAGTGGATCGCCTGAGTCCACGGGTTTGAGATCCACCTGGGCAACTTGAGGAGACCTCATCTCTACAATAAATCAAAATGAGCCGGGCATGGTAGCGCACCCTGGTAGTTCCAGCTACTTGGAAGGCTGAGGTGGAAGGATCGCCAGAGCCCAGCAGGTCGAGGCTGCGGTGGCCGGGAGCGGCCATTGCACTCCAGTCTGGATGACAGAGTGAGACTCAAACTCAAAAAACAAACAAATAAACAAAACAAAAAAAAAAAAACAAAGAAAAATCATCACTTCTTCCCAGCTTTTATTAAGTCCCTACTATTATGAGAATCTCTCTTCAAAGATCCGCCTCAACCCCAAAGAACTCCTCCTAAAAAACACATGAGCCTTGTGTAGGCTGAAACCTATTCCTTTCTCTTCTTCATGTAACTAATATCAGCATATGCTTGCCAGTTAAATGTGCAAAATATAGGTCTCCACTCCATTATAGGCTGAGTAGATGATGGCCTTCTTTATTAATTCCCAATTAATTAAATTGTCATCTCCCGCCTGGGCAACTTGGTGAGACCTCATCTCTACAATAAATCAAAAAATTAGCCGGGTGTGGTAGCGTGCACCTGTAATTCCAGCTATTTGGAAGGCTGAGGCAGAAGGCTCGCTGGAGCCCAGCAGGTCGAGGCTGCGGTGGCCAGGAGCGGCCACTGCACTCCAGTCTGGGCGACAGAGTGAGACTCCAACTCAAAAAAAAAAAAAAAAAATTGTCATCTCAATTTCTCTTACATGTCAAGGAGGATATAGAGTCACAAGATATTTATTCTTTTTTTTGCTTGTTTGTTTTGGAAAGAACAAGAGGGAACTGGAAGCTTATTGATGAACTGCAGAGGAAAACAAAGGCTAAAACAGTCTCACATCTTCCCCATCTTTCCTCTGGGGAACGCGCTCCTCCTCCACTCCAACCATGTGATTTTGATGGTGCTGCCAATCTGCCTAGCTGGAAGAGTAGGCACATTCTTGTGTCCAATCTGGCCAATCAAGGTTCTTCCCTGGAATTGTCAGCACTAGAGGTAGGAGTTTTCTCTTTACTCTAGGGTGCTTAATCTTTGATGATATAAGACAGAAGTTGTCTTCAGTCATATCGTTCATGCTTTTATATACAATCATGTGCCACATAACAATATTGCAGGTCAATGACAGACTACATATATGATGGTGGTCCCATAAGATTACACATAATGGAGCTGAAAAATTCCTCTAGCTCAGTGACTTCATAGCTGTCACAACAAAATGCATTACTCACATGTCTGTGGTGATGCTGGTGTAAACAAATCTACTACACTGCCAGTCATATAAAAGTATAGCACATACAATTATGTACAGTACATCATACTTGATAATAACAAACAACTGTTACTAGTTTATGTATTTAATACCCTATATTTTTATTGTTATTTTAGAGCGTATTTCACCTGCTTCTTTAAAAAAAAGCTAACTGTAAAACAGCCTCAGGCAGATTCTCCAGGAGGTATTCCAGAAGGCATTGTTATCATAAGAGATGACATCTCCATATGTGTTCTTGCCCTTAAAGGCTTTCCAGTGGGATAAGATGTGGAGGAGGTAGCTGGGCTCAGTGGCTCAGCCTGTAATCCTGCACCTTAGGAAGCTGAGGTGAGTGAATTGCTTGAGCCTGTGGGCTCGAGACCCGCCTGGGCAACTTGATGAGACCTCATCTCTACAATAAATCAAAAATTAGCCGGCTGTGGTAACACGCGCCTGTAGTTCCAGCTACTTGGAAGGCTGAGGCAGAAGGATTGCCGGAGCCCAGCAGGTTGAATGCAGCCACTGCACTCCAGTCTGGGCGACAGAGTGAGACTCCAACTCAAAAAAAAAAAAAAATGTGGAGGGGGAATACAGTGATACTGATGATCCTAACCTAGCCTAATGTGTACATTTGATCTTATTTTTAACAAAATAGTTTTAAAAGTTAAAAAAAATTTTAAATAGAAAAAAGCTAATAATATAAAGAAAGAAAACATTTGTGTACAGCTGTACAATGTGTTTTGCTTTAAGCCAAATGTTATTATATAAAGTCAAAAAGTTGTAAAAAAAATTAAAACGTTACAGTAAGCCAAGGCTAGTTTATTATTGAAGAAAGAAAGTGTTTTATAAATTGAGTGTTGCCTAAGTGTACAGTGTTTATAAAGTCTACAGCAGTGCACAGTATCATCCTAGGCCCTCACATTCACTCACCACTCACATAGGGACTCACTCAGAGCAACTTCAGTCCTGCAAACTCTTCATGGTAAGTGCCCTACAGAGATGTGCCATTTTTAATCTTTTAAATTGTATTTTTACTATGCTTTTTCTATGTGTTTAGCTACATAAATACCATTGTGTTACAACTGCCTACAGTATTTACTACATTACTACATTAACGTGATGTACAAGTTTGTAGTCTAGGAGTAATCGTCTTTTATCATATAGCCTAGGTAGACTATACCATCTAGGTTTGTGAAAGTACATTTCATGCTGCTTACAAAATGACAAAAATTGCCTAAGAATTTCTCAGAGCATATCCCCCAAGCAACACACGACGGCTGTACAATGTCCTAGTAATAGGACAGAAAGAGGCTTGTAGAAACAGAGAGAGGGAACCAAGGGGCTAGAGGCTCTTTGGAGAGAGGAAGAGATACACAAGAGCATCACTGGAGTCCCTGGATTTAGTAATACCCCAGTCCTTCCCAGGTTTTTGAGCCAACAAATCCCTTTTTGCTTAAGCTGTTTGAATTGAGTTTCTGTCACTTGCAACAGGAATATCCCTGACTTTTAAAAGTGTTATTATTACCAGAGTAAGCCTAAGAAATTAATAACAGCAAAAAATCCAACGCAAAGGTGTAGTTCTTGGCTAAAACACAGAACTCACTTTAATAATGTTATACAGAATGAAGATAATTCAAAAATTAATTCAAGATTCAGTTGGAAATAGAATAATTTGATCTAACAAATACATACAGATGACACCTGAAGCTGTGAGTCAAGAGAAGATACTTTCTAAATGCTATGAAGACTAGTTATAGATCAAATGTTAAATATGCTTTATTAAATTCAAAAGGCCTTACTTTTCACTCACATACATAACTGACATTTGGTGTCACAATGGTTGAAATGTCTGTGGAATAGTGGGATGCATTCAAGGATCCCCAAGATGTTCCAATATTCTGAAAGACAGAAGATATCTACTTGCTGATAAAAGCCCAGATACAAATGAAATAAAGAAAAATCAACAAATTATTCTGTTAGAGCTCTGGAAGGAATTCTCCCACAACTATGTCTCTTTGACTGTATGAAGCCCAGTAGTTCAGTCAAATTTGTTTTCCATTTGTCTCTACTGTGAATTTCATGAAGCAGGCCAGCTATTGCCAAAGAATTCAATACCTACTCTAATGCTTAAATTTAACCATAAGCAAACCCATGCCTTCCACAAACATGAAGATTCCCCATCCCCGTTTATATTAAATATACCACAAACACACGTGTACACACAGACATACACAATTAACATGTAATTATCTCCCAAGCACAGACATCTGGACTAAGGTTAACACCACAAGCTAATATCCATGCTTGTTATGCTTGGGTTCTTAGTGTTTTTAGTGAGGGGAGAGGAGGAGATGGTAGAGAATGGGTGGTGCAGAGGACACAAGCCTTACTGTCCATTTTAATAATAATCTAGGGGGGGCTGCCTAGTTAAAAAAAAGGCTCCTCAGCTGTTCCTGATAATCCAAGCCATGGAACCTTCCACTGGCCCCAGCCCATCCCACCCTACCCTCCTTTGAAACACACCCATTTTGTACACCCAAACACTGTGGACAGCTGTTTCCCTCCTTCCCCAAGTGCCACGCTTGGAGAACTACCCAGGGCACAGGAGTAGCCTCGAACTTTAGAGACCCACCTTTCACCCTGCCGCTCTCACTCTGGGGCACACACACCCTGCAGGCGGAGACAAACTGAAACCAACCTCACAGGATGCCCCAGACTCGGGCACACTCATATCAGTCCTCCCGGAGGATGGGGAAGTCTACACCTGTCACCCAGCACCGACAGGAGGGCTACATATCTGTTCCGCCCCGGGGGCGGGGGGTCCCCGCCTCCTAGTCTTACAATCTAGGGAGCCGACACGCGCGTCTCTCAGCCTCACATACATTCGGAACCAACATGTGGAAACTGCCTGACGCAGCTCGAGGTTAAACGCAGGACACGCCCCTCCACTCCACAGACAACCTCGTCGGGCCGGTGGCCCCGGTCCCGTCAGTCCGTCAGAGGCTGCTCTGTCAGCTCCCCGGGGACACGCCGCCGTCGCGCGGGGCAGGGGCCGAGGCTCGGGGACCCGGCGCGCGCTCTCCTCCTACCTCGAGTACGGCCCCTCAGCCTTGTCTCTTCCCCACTGACCGGCTCTCGGGAGATTGTTACCTGAGCTTACAGCCATTCTGGCCCAGGACCCCTCGGCCCACGTGACCCCGCCCCCTGCTCTAGCCTCACGCATGCGCAATACCTACCACTAGTGCCACGCTTCCGCTTTCCTCCCCTCACGGCGCTCCCTTCTGGGCGGTCCGCGCCTCTACTCCATACCCTGATTTAAAGGGCCGGAGACACACTGTCTCACTTCTCCCAATGTCGGGGTGATTAACGTTTTGAGGACCAGGAAAGTGGAAACGTCGGAGGAGGAGCGCAGACTAATAAATAGCAGTCCTTGAGGTGAGAGGAGGTAGTCTCCTCCAGTCTTACGTCAGTGCATTAATCTGGTCTTTAAGAAAGTGAACCTACTTACAGCCAGCCCAGAAAGTGCAGTTGATTCTTTGGTTTTTGGAGTTTCCAACCAGTAAAATATTAATATATATATACATTTATATAAATATATATATATTTTTTTAACTTAAAAAAAAAGACGGTGTGGTAGCTCACGCCTATAATCCCAGCACTTTGGGAGGCCAAGGTGACAGAATTGCCTGAGTCCACGGGTTCGAGACCAGTCTGGGCAACTTGGCGAGCCCTCATCTGTACAATAAATCAAAAAATTAGCCGGACATGGTGGTGCACGCTTGTAGTTCCAGCTACTTGGAAGGCTGAGGCAGAAGGATCGCCTGAGCCCAGCAGACTGAGGATGTAGTGGCCATGAGCGTGCCACTACCCTCCAGCCTGGGCAACAAAGTGAGATCCTGACTCAAAAAAAAGAAAAAGACAAACACAGAATTGCCAGATTTCTTTTTTTTATTTTCTCAAGTAGGGACAATAAGTGCACACATACTAAAAACTATTAACTTATTAACTATTAATTTATTGTCAAAATTGCTCCCCCAAAATACATCTTAACACCAAAAATAGAGAAGGGACAAACTCTCAAATAGAGGAGACATCTTTAAAACGAATAAAAACGTATGTTTATTACTCTTATTGCTTCTGAAGAAAGATGGAATCTTTCACAACAGACAGGTTTTTAGAGTCATCACTGTAGCTAATATTGGCACCAAGACACATCTTATGCTTGCTGGGGCCTATGATCAAGAAAATAGAAGGAGGACAAATGTCAGAAGATGCTCTTGGAAAGAGATACAGAGAACATTCAGTTTGATGGACACTTATTGAGCATCAATCAGGTTCACTACATTTATGGGCCTTCAGAGGACCCAGAGGTTGGTAAGACACAGCCCTACTCTCCAGATACCCTTTGTCTAAGAACTCAGTGTACAGACATAAAAATAAAACAAGGTAGACTGTCTTGAGTGATATAAAGAAAGACATTGAACTACCATTTTAGGATCACAAATGAGGGAAAAGGTTAAAATACTTCGGGAAAGAGGTGTACTTTATGAGGGCCTCGAAGGATTTCAGTAGGCATAGAGCAGGGAGAATGCCCAGCTGAGGAAACAGTGGGATCAAAGGCAGTACAGAGCAAGTTTAAGGGCTAGTTACTGGCCTGATGTGGCTGTAATTTGGGCAGTGACTTTCAAACTTCTTTAACCATCACCCACAGTAAGAAATGCATTTCAGTCACGACCTAGTATGTATTTTCATATATAAACTCAGTATGTGTATGTATATATTTTATGTATGTGTGTATCATAAGATAGTAATTTTCCTTTGTGTGTGCAACACAACTTGGTATTTTCTTTTTTTTCTTTTTTTAATTCCGGTTACTAAATTGATTTCGGTACTCAGTAATGCAGAACAACCCATAGTTTGAGGACACTGGTGTAAAATGTGTTAGAGTTATAATGGGATATGAAGGTGGAAAGGCTGGCACCAGATCCAGGAGGACATTAAATGCTGAGCTGGGGTGTCTGTGCTTCTGGTAAAAGTCTACAGAGGATCTTGAGCAGAGGAGTGGCATGATTATAACTGTGCTTTAGAAGTCTGGACAGCTACCTTTGGTTCTGAATATCACATTTTTCAAGGAAAACTATTAAACAAAAGACCATCTAGAGAAGGGTAAGCAGGCTGATGAAAGCAGAAAGCCAATGTGACAGAGAACTGTTGAAAGTATTGGGCAGAAAAGAAATTGGCAGAATTCTAGGGAGCGAGCTTATAGAAGTGAGAGGTGGAAAGGTTGCTAGCAGATCTTTTTGAAATATCTCTATGACACTAATAGACCTACTCTGGGCACCTGAGACCTGTGTATAGATATTGTAGGGAAGCCGATTTCAACTCATAATGAGTATTTTAGGATGGTCCAAACTGCTTTTAAGACCTCTTCAAAGCAGCAGCTCTTGTTTGTACTTCTGTTCACAGTGGGAAATACTGTCAAATGCGATCTTTTCCAGGGCTGTTTGTATTAATTAAAAAATAAAAATGTCATGTGCTTATGGCAGAAAACTCAGAAAATTCCAGAAATGTATTTAAAAGGCAGAAATCACCTACATTCCAGAAAAAGACTCTCATGGTTTTGGCTTTTTTTCACTGAGTTTTTTTTTTTCTTTGCATATTTACATTTTTAATATAATAGAACTACATAGAATATTTAGTTATACATTCGTTTTTATAGGATATATCATTAACAGTCTACATCCTGCTTTGTTCCTCATTGTTTTGTCTTGAGCACTATCCACAGTCATTAAAATTGTTCACAAGTAGTATTTGTAATTGCTACATAATTATTAATCATATAGTTTATTTTATTTCATTATTTCACTATTTTTAAACATTTAGAGGGGTTTCTATTTTTCGCTGTTAACAAGAACATTGCCATGAATATTCTTATACAGAAATCTTTCACACATTTAAAATTATTTCCTTAGGTTAGAAACCTGTAAATGAAATTACTAATTTAAAGGCTTTAAATTCTCTTAAGTCTGTGGAGACCTATGGTCAAATTGCTTTCCAGAAAGATCAGGCCACTTTTCATTCTCACCAGAAGTACTCAAGGGTGTCCATCACACATACCCACCCACATTTATTTTATCTTTTAAAAAAGATTTGCCAATTTGATAGATGAAATGGCCTTTCATTTTAATGTGTTTTGTATTGCTAGTGGAGTGAAATAGCTTTATAAATTTATCAACCCTTTATAGTTATTCAGGGAATGCAATTTCACTGCCTATGTTTGGATTTGTGATTGGCAAATAGTACTAAGTAAATTGTTTCAGACTTATGAGGGGAAAAAAAAAAAACCCAGAAGGATTTTAAAAATAAATGATGTGGTCACACCAAGTTGTAACTGAATTATAATGTGGTGTGTACTGTACTAACAAATGTTAGAGTGAAAATTGAGTCATCACATGGTATGTGGTTAAATAGGTCTGTACTATTACAATCAGTACAATATTCATGTTGCAGGGACAGTTTGGTTTCAGCAAAATATCATTTCTTATATTAAATCAATAGCGTACCTTTCCTTAGTTTTGTGTTTGCATATATACATATACATATATACGTATGCAACATTATACAAAATAATATAAGCCAACTCTAGAGATCTGAGAATCTTTTCCCCTAACAAGGGATCTGAACAATATCCAAGTTTGAGAAACATTGATATAGGAAGTGTCTTAAAGTTTCATTTGCAATGGTCTAAACAAAGGCATTGGGATTTTTTTTTTTTCCAAGGTAAAAGTTATGTCAGCTTACATATTGGATTTTTTCCATACAGAATAGTGTTATGATTTTCATCCCTTGGGAAAGAGTACCAAAAGCTATGCTATGTTTAGGGTTCAGAGTGTGTTTTGACTTAAAATGTACCATTCATCAAAGTTAACTTTGTATAGGTCAGTAAGACCTAGACAGAAGAATGTTTAGATTTTTTAAACTTGTCACTTTAAGTAAGGCAAAGCAGATGAACAGATAGTGATTAAGAGGGAGCTTTTGTGAATTGGTTTTAGGAGAAACTAAGCTAAGGAGAAAAAAACACTTGTGTGCTCTAGGAGCCTTGGAGCGTGGGAATCCTCAAGGACTGGCTGACCCTGATGCACAGAAGCTGGAGGGGAGTGCCACCTGAGGGTGCTGTCCTGACACCCACTGTTCTCCCGCTAGTTATCCCCAAAACAGGAAGGACGAACATTATGATCCAGACATCACCATTAACCTTGCATCTAGAAAAAGTCACATTGTTCCTGATGGGGAAAATGTTTGTACCTGGAAATGGGTAGAGAACAGGAGATGGATGGTCATGCCATTTCTTTCTTTACTCAGAATCACAAAATAATATGGCCTCTTTTCCTTTTTCAAAAAGGAATCTGGTTGGAGCACAAATAACTTTTAAGGCAGTGAAACTGCTCTGTATGATACTATAAAGGTGAATACATGTCTTAACTTTGCCCAAACCCACAAAATGTACAACACCAAGAGTGAACCCTAAGGTCAATTTCAGATTTGGGTGATAAGGCTGTAATGATGTGTCTGTGTAAGTTCATCAATTGTAACAGATGTACTACCCTAGTGGGAGAGGACATGCAAGTGTGGGGGTGAGCAGTGTATGAGAAAGCTCCATATCTTCCTCTCAACTTTTCTGTAAACCTAAAACTGCTCTAATGAATGAAGTCTATTAAAATAAACAAAAACAAGCCGGGCTTGGTGGCTCAGCCTGTAATCCCGTGCCTTTGGGAGGCTGAGGTGAGTGGATTGCCTGAGCCCAGGGGTTCGAGACCCACCTGGGCAACTTGGTGAGACCTCTCTCTCTACAATAAATCAAAAATTAGCTGAGCGTGGTAGCGCGCGCCTGTAGTTCCAGCTACTTGGAAGGCTGAGGTGGAAGGATCACCGGAGCCCAGCAGGTCGAGGCTGCGGTGGCCGGGAGCGGCCACTGCACTCCAGTCTGGGTGACACAGTGAGACTCCAACTCAAATAAATAAATAAACAAACAAAAACAAAAAAAGCGTTGTACAAGGTTTTTAATTGAGTCATGGAGTTTTCATCCAAGTAAGCTAGAGAGAAGTAAAATTGATTATCTGTCAGTTACTCAAGCTAGTCCAAGTGTCATTCTCATGTTCCCTCTGCTTGGAATGTTCTTCCCCCAAGATAACCACTTGGCTCACTTCTTCGAGGCTTTGCTCAAATGTCACTGCATTAGT